TGAACGAGCACCGCGAGGGCACTCGGGTGCGTGCCTTCTCGCAATCTAGTGACGAGAATTCGGGTAGTGGTGGGGTCGTGATCTTGGAGGAAGGATTGGCAGACGATGATTCATGGGTTGAAGAGGTTTCGCACGACGAGGATGAGGCTGGAGGCACCACAGCCACGGAGGAGAGCTCCGAGGATGAGGCGAATAACCTTGGCGACCGCGAAGAGGAGCTCAGAGGATATCACAGGCAGGCTATCGACTTCACCCTGCACACCATCGTCGAGGAGTCCTGCGAGGAGAGCGAAGCGGAGCCCAGTTTGGCCACGGGTAGCCCGTCCAAGAAGCAGAGACCACCTTCAGCGTCCGAACTCGAGAAGTATTTCTTCTTCGGCCTTGGGGGAGATGGCAACAACTCCAGCATGGGTTCGAGAGAAGTGGACAGCTTGTCGGAAACGTCGTCAATTTACTCGGAAGGACTGGAATCGCTAGGTCAGGATGAACCCTCCGGTACCGGACAGAGTCAGGAAAGATCAAACTCTGGAGAAGGGTTCCTAAACTCTTCCAGATTGGAGAAGTACTTCTTGTCCGAGTTCCTGGGATTCGATCAGGACAGACGGGACTCTGATGGGTCCGTCGGCAGCGACTCAGAAGGCAGGCCCAGCCCTGAGGCCCAACGGAGGAAGAAGCTGGTCCGCGCCAGAGGCACCGGTAGATCACACAGCTCTTCTTTGGACAACCTGCTGGCTCTCACGCAAAGCTCTCAGAACTTGAGCTCGCAGAATTCTCTTCAGGATCTAAGTTTGAACCAGGACTCGCAGGAGACTCAGTCAGAAGGTTCGTCTACTGAGACGGACGGTGCAGACGATCAGACAGCTGCATTTGGGACGGACGGACAATTTGATACCGTGAAACGAAAGAAGAAGAAGCCGAGGAACCTGGGAACGCAGAGTCCACGTGTTCCTGATGACAGAAACAAGACCCCAGAACCGAACAGAGAGATGGTCCTCGTTGGGGAAGTGGTGATGGAGAACGAAGCTGAAGCGTTGAATTCCGAGGACTCTGAGAGGGCGAAGACTCCGCAGCCCGAGTCTGTGTTGTCCTCTTCGCCATCAATGACCGCAAGCAACTTATCATCGTCGACTTTGTTAGCTGATTCCTCAAGAAGCATTCAGATGAGCTCAGGCGAGTCGATGTCCTACAATCAAAAGTCTAAGCAGCAATCAAGGGACTCTGGTTTCGTGGGCAGCTGCGATGATCTCCTGCAACATCAGAAGCTACCTGACGACGTTCAATCCAACCCAGAAGTCAACCAGGACAGCACGAAGGATCGTTCTACCAACGAGAACAATAAAAACGTCCAGGATGTGAACCAGATCACTAACGGAGTCGCTGGGGTTGAAAAAAGTAACGTGACCAAGATGGATCACACCTTGAACCATACCACGTTGCCTCACCTGCCGAACGCTTCCCTCTCGAGGAAGGACAGCTTCAACAACTGGTCCAGCGACGAGGAGACGAACCTGATGATGTCGAAGATGAGACAGTTCTTCAAGACCATGGTCGCCAATTCGAACGGGCAGAACCAGAACGCCAACCCGAATTCGAGTGGTGCCTCGCCTGCACCCAGTCCTCGATTACCTGGCTACACCTCCAAAGCCAGACTATGTTCACAGAACCGCACGAAACCGCCTCAACTGGTATATTTCGAGAACGAGCTGACCAGGTTGATGAAGACGGTGCCAGGAATAAGGGACGAACAGGTTCGGGAGATCGTCGAGTACCTCAGCTCGGAGGACACGTGGTCAGACTCGTACGACAGCTCGGACTACACCAGTTCGGATTTGGAGGGAGCAGCCGGAGGTCGGCGATCTGCTCTTCAGGAACAGATATCCCAGAGCTGCCAACAGATAATCAGCAAATTCGACACCACGTCGGGTGACAATCTACTGGACAAGGAGAAGGAGGACAAGACTGGCCCCACTGCCGTCCAGGCTCCCTGCCTGGGCAGGGACACTGCTTTCGTCTACCAGAAGCTGGTCCAGAGTTTCACCAAGATGGCCGGCGACGGAGTGAGCTCCGACGCTAACTCTACACCTCACAGCAGCCCACCGTTGATCGCCAAGGTGATGCACCACATCGGCAGCCGGCTGGTAGCCTTAATGCACGAGGTCTCAGAAGGTGGACCCGCCGTTCAGCCTCACTCCACGAGCTGGAGACGATACTCCCAGCATCACAGGACACCTTCTTCGGCCTCCACCACCGAGGACGACGACTCCACCTCGGATTCCACCAACGCTCCTTCGTCGACGCATCTGCAGCTGCCTAGGTCCAAATCGCACGACCCTCTTCTGTTGATCAACACCCATCCAGCGGCTTCCACCGGCCAGGAAGGCGAAGAACGGGAAGCCAGTGACTACGAAAGGTTCTCCTGGCGAGGAAGCTTCGAGTCTGCCCTCATGGCGGCGGACTCCAGGACGAAACTCAGCCTGCTGGCGTGCTCCGGGGATAGTGTCGGTGCTAGTGCTAGTGCCAGCGCTTTGGCGATGGCCGCCAAGCGCCGCAGTGCCGGGGATCTGTTGTTCAATCCAAAGAGTTTCTCCAGGGAACAGTTGGATAGGGTTAGAAGTTGTGGGTCTATCGGTGGCGGGAGTGGAGGGGGTGTGGAGGATCGGTCGAGGAGAGGATTTGGACCAACAGAAGAAGATCATCCGTTCCCGACGCCAACACCAGGGGAGAGTCTGGTAAGTCCACGTCCTCGTCGTATCTCCCTGTTCGCGATGCATCCTTCCGGGGTACCGTTGTTGCAACGCGACATTCCTCATCTATAGGCGCATCTGCAGGTGACGACGACACGGAGGACGAACTCGAGTACAATGGCGAGTCGCGGGCGACTACTCTGCCCCGCGGAATGCAGTCCGCCATCACGGCGGCTACCAATTCGCTACCACGCTTGCCAGCTTCTACCGCACCCGCTGGCTTAACCACCACGTCCACCACGCCTTCCTTGACGATGCACAAAGCGCACAGCGTGTATCATTTTCTGCCGCAACATTCCGGTGTCAAATCAGCCAGGTACAGACCACCTGGCTTTGCGAGGAACAGCAACGTGGCTGGCGCTATTGGTGGACCCAAACGTGCGGTCAGCGCACCCGGTCTTCAAGTTTCGGGATCACAGCCGTCCGCTGGGAAGAGGGACAACTCCAGGTCCAGGAGGCAGCAGGCTATGTCTCTTACACCCGGTAAGTTGTGCGTTCTTGTGGTTATGCTTTAAAGATGGCGGAGATGAATGCAAATGGAGGATGTGGACTTCAGATTTGAGGTACCTAGGGATTTTGGGATCTGACAATTTGATGATTTAGGACTATTAAAGTTACCATTATGTCAGGCAACGTACTCTGCATACATACATGGCATATAAATTTCGTTATACAACGTGTTTTTATTTTCTTCGTAATAAGTTTATGTAACATTTTACACGCATTATCGATAATGGTAACGTCTTATAATTTTCTGTGAACTTTACTGACCCTTATAACGTATAATTTGCTATATAGCATAATGTTACATAATACACTTCTGCTATTATGTCATACAATGTGGCAGTAATAGAAAAGATACAGGGTGGTCAATAAAAATTTAAAGAATGTGAAGGATGTTAAGTCATACTTTATGAAACGTTAGTGAAATGAAATGAACTTGAACCTTTTGAAAAAGAGAACTGTTATAAAGCTTAATTTATTTGATGCATTTAAGTAGCCGCAAAATACGATAGCAAGTAGAACGCGATTTGTTAATGAACGGCTTAAAATATTTACTAGAGTGTAACAGGTATAACCGCTTTATTATGAAATTTCCCTTCTTTTTCATTCTTCTTTGGTCGCTCCCCTACCACTTGCTGTGTGCAACAATCGATAAACCGGTGTAACGTTGTATCCCGCGTATGCGTACTGTCAGATTTCTGTAGCAATATCTTTCACCCTCCGTAAATATAATTAGAAAAACTGGTCGAATCTCCGATTCGAAATAAAATAAATAATGAATTGAAAGTGGACACATTAATCGTGCAACGCGTTCAACATTTTCATTTCTTCCGTGGTTGGCTGGCTTAGATATATATTCAGAAATTACTCGCTAAAACTCGTTATAATTAATTACTGCAATTATCAGATTCATTCACGTACAAATTTAATCGTGTGTACATGTAAAACGGTAGCTTTGTAATGATTTTTATAGACTTGGATTTTAAAACGACCCAATTTTTATAGTACCGTTCATTTCGGATCATTTGTTACAGTAGACTCTCGTTATATTGCCGTTTCGCGTTATGGACAATTACGTTATATTGTCACTCGTACGATTAGGTAAGATAGTCAAATATTTGACTGTTGCATTGCTATTCATATTATATTACCACGTGTTATATGGCCACTCGTTATATTGCCACGGTTTGTATGGTCACTCATTGTATCACCACGCGTTGTATCACCACGCATATCATATCAGTATGCGTGGTATCACTACTCGCACTATATCGCCACGCGTTGTATCACCACGCGTTATATTGCCACGAGTTGTATTACTACGCATGTTACATTACCATGCGTTATATCACCACGAATATTCTATCGTTATTCATTGTGTTATTACGCATTATATCACCACGTGTTATATCGCCACGCGTTGTATCACCATGCATTATATTGCCACGAGTTGTATTACTACGCATGTTACATTACCACGCGTTATATCACCACGAATATTCTATCGCTATTCATTGTATTATCACGCATTATATCACCACGTGTTATATCGCCACGCGTTGTATCACCACGCGTTATATTGCCACGAGTTATATTACTACGCATGTTACATTACCACGCGTTATGTCACCACGAATATTCTATCGCTATTCATTGTATTATCACGCATTATATCGCCACGCGTTGTATCACCACGCACATTATATCGCTACGAGTTGTATCATCACACACATTATATCACCACACGTTATATAACCATATCTTGCACCGCTATGTATAATATTACACGTATAGTATTACATATATCGCCACATATGACCACACGATATATCACCGCAATTTTATATCACCATATGTAGACCCATACATATCACCACGCAGTATATTGCAATATTTTCATCCAATATATTTCGAATTCCAAAATATTTCTAATAAGCGGCAATATAACAAGCGTCTACCTGTAGAATTCTGAGGCTGACGGTATTATCCTCATCTGGTACATCGAGGGAATTATTTTCACTGCCACTCCCGCTACACTCAGAGCTCCTGCGGATCAATAACCGTAACCCCAGAGTAATTCGCAGTGGCTTAATTAATTATGACCATTCAGAATTGTGACTGAAAATCTGACACCGCTATGTATATTGCATAGTTAGATGTTTCCTAGACGTTGGAATTTACAGTTGCATTTATAGCGTCTTCGAATGATTTTCTAGTAATCTATTCTTCAGGTTTACAGTAATATTGCGTGTTTGTTAGAAGTTTTTCTAGTTACTTGTTTTTTCCATGGAGGTTCGACAACCTTCGTTTCTGCATCCCCATGCTGTTACATCGCAACTGCACACTTATCTGACCATCTGTAATGTATTATTCATTTGGAAAAGGCGACCTTCTAGCTTGTATACAAGGTGGTTCATAAATACTGCAAAATATTACAAAGTACATTTCACTATTTCGCATCTAGCTATATCGCATTTTTCATGTACAGTTATATTAATTAAATAGTACCAATATTTGTAAAGAAATTATTAAAAATAAGTTGGCAGTATTCACGAGGAACAAATGATACGAAATGAATTCGAAATCGATCGAACACCTGGTATTATACAACGAGTATAGAATTCGATATTAATGTGTGGAAACGCGAATGGAATACTGAGCATTTCCTTAACCCCTGCGTTACGGAAGACCACAATAGTGGCCATTTATGGACACCATCTCTATATATGCACAGCCCCTATTACGGTGAATGATGCAAACAACCAATTTAATACGGTAGCTGCTTGATAATTCCCCAATTTTGGGCTTCCAGAGGCAGAAACATCCCCTCAGTTCCATACAATAGTTACTCTGTAACTCTCCATGTTTAGAAAGTTTCCAAACAGTCAGGTAATCACAGTAGCCTGATAATTCCCCACATTCGGGGCTTTGAACATTTACAAAAAAGGAAATGATCAAATTACTACGTTAAATTAATAATTTAAAGGGTCTTCTCTAATGTCCTAACAGTGGGAAATTATAAAAAATTGACTATCTGCATAACTACCTTTATCGCCCCGGAATCGGGGGAATTATAAAGTTGTGATTATAACGAGCTAAATGTACAAAATGTTATAATATAGAAAACCTTTCTCCAAAGACAGGGAAATATTAAACCTCTGCTATAACAAACATATAAAGAGTTAACTGTCTCTAGACCCGCCTCCAGAGCCCCGAAAGCAGGGAATTATCGAGCGTCTACTGCTCATAACCTACCTACTTCATAATGTCTACAAAATATTTTCCATCCAAATGCTTTCCTTAAATCATTAAACCAATTTCCAGTTCTGAGAATTAAACAATTATAATTAAAACAAAAATTAAATCCGCATTTCCCAGCTTTCTAAAGTTCCATCGATAATCAGGAAACCATTTCGCCTGACCAGAAATAGTCTGACGTCAAACAGCAACGATTTATTAGCAAACAAATACCAGTCTTACAAAGCCGTGAGCAAACTGGTTTTACGAGCAATTTGGAGTTTAAGCCGGCTACGACGTAAATTGAATTCGCGTTGAATATTGCATTGACGTCGAAAGCGTAGTGCCGGAAAGTTCATTTAGTTTAGTTTCGATTGTGGTCAAGGCCTGGTTAATTTTTACTTACATCATAACATACACGTTGCTCGTATATCGATTTCCTATCTCTCTAAGTTCGTTGGAAATGCATAGTCGTATTTGTTCCCATTTCTTTTTATGCGACTCGAATTGTTCGAATTTACCTGAAGTAAATTTACTGGATGGATGTTTCAATTTTTCATTAAACTGGGGATAAAGTGTAAATTTCTAGGCGTAGATGAGATCTGTTGGTATAAAATATAGTTTACACTGGGGAGTTTTAATGGCGGCTCTCCGGCATAGTCGGTTCGGTGGGTAAACTTTGATGGCGGTCATTGGAGGAGTATGGTAATATTACCTTATGCAAATGGGACGGAAGTAATGGAGTGGAAGGGGATAATGGAATTAGGTCAACAAGTTCCTAGACCCACACAAGTCAGAAGTGATAAATTCCTAAATTTCCATATTTGGATCCATAAGTTCCTAGATTCCGAACTTCCTGATTTGGAAGTTCTCAGTTCCTAAATTCTCTAGATACTCAATTCTCCACATCCGAAAATTCCCCAGATCATCAAATCCCCAAATCCCAAACTTTAATTCCTACAACTCCAAATTCCTTGAACCCCTAATTCTCCAAATCTCCAAATTCCTGCAACCCCAAACTTTTAGATTCTCAAGTTCCTAGATCTCCAAATTCCCTGGATCACCAAATCCCCATATCTCAAAATTTACTTCCTACAACCCCAAATTCCCTAAACCCCTAATTCTCCCAATCTCTAGACTTCTTGATTTTCAAGTTCCTAGATATCCAAAATCCCTAGATCACCAAATCCCCAAATTCCAAAATTTGCATCCTAACCCCAAATTCCCCAGTCCAATTCCCAAATCTTAAAAATCCCAAAAATGAAAATCCATAAACCCAAATCGATGAATAAAAGTTGGATCCAAATCTTAAGTCTTTCGGCATAGTCGGTTCGGTGATAAAATTCTCCATACGCGCAGTTTCCTAACCGTGGTAATATTACCCAACGCAAATAGAATAGAAAGAAAAGAAAACGGAACGAGTTACTGTTGGGCACCATCTAAATGTGGCCATCACGGAATGGGCCATAAAGCGTTAAAAAGACACAGCTCGTTTGTATAACATTATTTCCCGGTAGTGAACCCGCGCCACGTTCTTCTGCTCTACTAACCGGCGGACAGCGCGGCATGGCGGCGAACAATGGAATTTCACTCGGCCGCGCAGGAGGACATTTTCGTCCTCGGTTCCTGTCGCTCTCTCGCTCTTTCCGTCGCGGAACCGATCACGTGTACGAAACACGCGTGCCCGCGATGAGAATCCGACCTGTGAGAGAATCGTTACATAAAATCCCGAGTCATGGAAC